AAAGAGTGTATCTGTTTGTGCTCTTTCAAGTCACCACTATGTTTTCTGTGTTAGATCTGGGGAGAGGCACTTGGGAGACAGTCCTCTCCACTCCCTTACCTGGTGGTACCTTGACGTTCTCAGCAAGAAAAAGATGATTCTTCCTTAAAATTCTATACATGTATCCAAAATAGTGCATTCTGAATAATGAAATTACATTGAGTGTGCTATGTCTCATGGTAAATGAGTTTAATAAGCTGTGAGCTGTACTCATTGGATCTAAAAGCAGTGATATACTATCATAAAATTATATATTACATGCTGTGTGGTTGGTTCCTGTGATGTGCAAAGCAATATTAATTTAAGGTGAGCCAACAGACTTTTTACTTGTCACAGTTCAAAGATTAATATTTTTCTGAATCAGCAGAGGATGTCTTAGCATGGCAAGACTTTTCTTTCCTGAAGTTAATAGGAAAAGTCCCATTGATTTTTATATGATAATGAAGGGTTGACTAAGTGGTTTCATTACAGATGTTATCAGCTGATACGGAAGAAATGCAAGCCCTGCTTGGCAGTCTGTAAAAACTACCAGTAATTTATTGCTAGAATGCATTTACTTTGAAGGAAAACCATCACATACAGGGTCACATGCAGTTTCACTGATATTAGCAGAAGGGCATCAAGTGTCTGCTTCACATTTTACATGGAGACACCAGATATATAGGTAGCCTGGGTGCCTAACTGTGATTTGAAGTCAGTGGAATGTGGAAGTGATGAATTGAGACCCTAACTCCTCTTCAACTCTCAGCTGAAATATTTGAATCTCATATACAAATACAATTAGGATAGTTTCCCAGGAGAAAAAAAGGGAGAAGCTTCTCAATTAAGCAGTTAGAGAAATGAAACAAAATAAGCCTATAAACAAAACAAAACAAAAAAAAAAAAGCTGTAAATGGAGCTGATTTGACTCTTATTCAAAACAAATGCTGATTGAGATAGATGTCAGCCTAGAGGGAATTCTGTACCTTACTGACTCCTGTAACAGAAGTTCTTTCTGGGTTATATTGCTGTGTGTTGAAAAAAGGCAGAAGGAATTTGAGTGGGATCTGAGCACAGAGATCTGTTAGCCTGGTGCTGACAGAAGTGAGATTTTAGTAAACATAAAAGAAAAAGACTTTCAGTCATTGTGAAAGTTATGTTTGTCATTCTACCATAAGCACATCGACCCTATTTGGGTAGACAATATGCAGTTAAAATTTAATGGAAGTAACGGCAAGTGCCAGTTTGTTAGAATGGAGTGAAGGCACTGGTGTTTCCATTTGAGATTTGGGATGCTGAGATACAAAACCTCATCTTATTTAAGAACTAAAAAGAAATGCTAAGTACCTGCCCTACCCTCATCAAACAGTGAAAGGATTGATTATTTGTAATGGCTGGTTTATCCAAATGAGAGATGGTTTTAGTTGTAAATATTGTTTAATGAACATATTCGCATGCAAAAAATACAAATGTTTTACCTTTTCCTTGTAATTAGTCTACCAGCACTGAAGTTGCCTCAACTTTTCCTTGCAGCAAAATTACGGTGCAAAATGCATTCCAGTACGAGACCGTGGCTTTCTTGTGCAGGTAGGATGTCGTATCTTACCCATTTATGAAACACTGTGGAACATGAGCTAACTGTTAATTGTTTTTAAGCAGATGTTGTTATTCTTATTTTCATTGTTCTCAGACAATTGAATTTGCTGAGCAGCGAATACCAGTATTGAATGAATACTGTGTAGTTTGTGATGAACCCCATGTGTTCCAGAATGGCCCTATGCTGAGGGTAAGTGGTGTGCTTGCTGTGATAACCAATGCATTTTCTAATGCCTTAAATAGCAGTGGTGGCTATACAAACCTGTTATAAAGCTGTTGAATTATTTCAGATGCATTTCATTCTAATAGCCTTTTAAGGTGCAAAAATGTAATACATATGAACTAGATTTTGCTGTAAATTAAAAAAAAAATAATTGCAAGCAAGAGAGATGAACATCAGGCTTGTATAATGTCATAGAAACATAAAGGAAGGATGTATTTCACTGAACACTATTGTGCTAGAGTAGTCACAACTGGATAAGATAGAGGAATTGCATTAGAGTGCTTTCCTGGTCCTCAGGCACTCTTTTAAAAGCTCAGAGTCACCTCAGTCCCTGAGCTCTTATAAAGCCTTGACTAGGGATTCGGATATACTGCTGTTAATGCCACAAGGCTGTGAAATTCTGACCCTCTTTTTGCTTCTGGGCCATTGGCATGAGCCATTCTCCATAACGTGATAAGAAAGGCAGTAGAAGGAGATGATCTGTGAAGTGTCTGATCTAGTAGTGACCTAGTCCAGAGGCACTCTTGGGGTTCAGCATGCCCAAAGTCTGGCCAGTTAGGCAGCTCTTCCTTCCTTTCATTCCTGAATAACTGTAAACCAGGAGTTCTGCATGCTGAACATTCTACCCTCTCATGCTCTTAGTAGATGTATACAGTGAAAAAGAGTAAAACTGGTCATGAGACATGCTTTGCCTGAATGAGCATGAGACTTGCTCTACTGCATCAGTACAGCCTTATAAAAGAGTATATTAGGAGAATAAAATTCTTACCTTTAGGACTGATCTTGAGGTTTAGAATCGTTCTTGTTTCACCTGTCCTGAAACCTGTGGAAACCTGAGTAACCTTATAATGCTAAAGCCATGGAAAACTGTTTAATATGAGTGTGTGAATTGTCTGACACCTCATCTGCCAATTTCTCCACAATGTGGCGAGCAACTACACATAAGTTGAAGCAGACATAATCTATGATAGTTTCATGGAACTAAATTCAGGAAGGATATTGCTTACACAGTAGCAGAAGTCACCTCAGTGTCATCCCCTGTGACACTCAGTGGCACCACAGTCAGGCATTCTGACTGCAGGCAGGGTATGGAAATAGGTTGTAACAGGATTTACAAAAGCATCTACATATTGAGTTAGCATTGGTTTAAGTCATGGTGAAACCTCTGTACTTTTGAAAATCCTGTTGAGTGGGGTTTTTTTGCCTTGTCAAGCTCATATCTACCTTTCAAAACCATGGTTTTCTGACAGATTTATCAGCGACAAAACCTTGACTAGAAGTCTGTAAGAAAGGTGCCAGATCATTGTTGTTCATCTTTGAATGCACTGCTGAGCATGTTACCTGTGACAGGATGAGATAAGACAAAGTAATATTTGGATAGTGAGTAAAGTTTGCATAATAATTTTTTAAATTACTGGGTTTTATATGTTGTCCCTGGGACAAAGAAAAAGTAAGATTTATTCATGTTCACGTGATGAACTATTAAAAGAAAACAGAGTGGAAAGTAATGTGCTGTAAAAAAAAAAATCTTAATTCTTCTTACTTTCCCACTTTAGAGATTAAAATCTCTCAGAATTACTTTTCTCTATCTTCAGTTTAAAGAGAGGTCAGTTTAGCTATCTGAGAGTTTGTTAGGGTTTCAAAACAGGAAGGTACAAACATGTTTGCCACTAAATGTGTGTTCATCAGTGCCTTTTCAAGCAGCATAACCTAGCAAGCTTTGCAAAAATGAAAGGGTGTCCTGATATAACCCAAGAGGAAGGAGACAGTGGGAAGAAATCTAGCATGCTCTGCCTATGGTTCAATGACTCAATAAGAAATATAGAGACATTAATAAGTTTGCAGTGCTGTAAAAGGTGAGAAAGGATCTCAGTTGGAATACAGCATGAGCTTGCCAAAGGGTCTTAAGGAAATTTATGCTTCTCTCTATTGATAGGTCTGGCAGAGGCAGCCTAAAAGTCAATTGTAGGGTTTATTTACATCCTTCAACTTCACACACATACACACACACACACACACACACACACACATATACACATACGCATGCACATACACGTATACATATATACATATATATATATAAATGTGTATGAAGAGGATGGAGACTGACCCAACGGACAGAACACTAATACTGCTGCAACAGCAGATCTCATAAATTCAGTACTTTATTAAGCAGAATGGTGGGGGCTTTCATTTAAGACAAGGCTACATGCAGTCTAGCCTTATGTCACCTAATGTGTCCTGTATGTAGTATCACTGGCCTTCATAAAGAGCTTTAGAGTGCTTGCAGTTTTGATACCAAAATAACTTCACCAGGTTTCGTAATCATAGAATCATAGAATCTTTCATATTCCCTCGTCTGCTTCAAACTCCTAACTTGCCCAGCCACCAGACTAGCTGTCTCCTCTTCAGCCCCCTTCCAAGCACCTCCTGGCAAGTCCTCCTTCCTACAGAAAAAGCTTGTCCCTTCCTGAGGAAAAAGCACTGCTAACTGGCCTCTGTTCAGAAAAAGTGAAATGCATCCCCATGCAGGGCATCCAAAATTCTCATTTATGCCCTTGGGGATGGCTCAAGTGAGATCATAGAATCATAGAATCATAGAATGGTTTTGGTTGGAAAGGCCCTTAAAGATCATCTAGTTCCAACCCCCCTACCCTGGGCATGGACACCCTCCACTAGACCAGGTTGCTCAAAGCCTCATCCAGCCTGACCTTGAACAGCTCCAGGGATGGGGCATCCGCAACTTCTCTGGGCAACTTGTTGCAGTGTCTCATCACCCTCATAGTGAAAAATTTCTTCCTAACGTGTAATCTAGATCTGCGCTTTTTCGGCTTGTAACTGTTACCCCTTGACCTGTGACTACACTCCCTGACAAAGAGTGTTTCCCCATCCTTCCAGTAGGCTCCCTTCAGGTACTGGAAGGCTGCTATTAGGTCTCCCCAGACACTTCTCTTCTCCAGGCTGAACAACCCCAACTCTCTCAGCTGTCCCCACAGGGGAGGTGCTTCAGCCCTCTGACCATCCTCGCGGCCCTCCTCTGGACTCTCTCCAGCAGGTCCAGGTCTTTTTTATGTTGGGGGCTCCAGAGCTGGATGCAATGCTCCAGGTGGGATTTCACGAGAGCAGAGCAGAGAGGGAGAACCACTTCCTTCGACCTGCTGCTAATGCATCTTTTAAGGCATCCCAGGACACTGTTGGCTTTACTGATCAGCCACCCTGATCATTCTGATAATGATCAGAACCTTACTCAGTGTGCTTATATTTTTAGATTCTATGTCTTTATCCCGTTTTCTACAGATATCCATATCTCAAAGGCATTACATAGATAGGCTCTGTAGTTGGTTGTATCACAAGCCATGCAACAGACTAAATAGCTCTGGATGGTTCACCAGTCTCCTCCTTTAAGGAGTAGTTCTTCCACACAGGTGCACACAGGGTTCTCCTTCTGCCTTTTGCGTCTTTTTTTCAACAAGAGAGAAGGCATATGAAATTAAAAAGCATATAAAAGTTATTGCTTGAGAAGTTAACTTGTATTTAGGTTTGATTTTGTGCTGTTTAATGGAGTTTTGCACAGTTGCAAAGAAGCCAGTAGGAATTTGATTCTGTAATCCTGTCAGCCTGACACATTTCCTGAACTATAGTGTAGTTTAATGAATTGTCTTAAAATGCAGCTTGAAATATTCAGCTATTGCCATCACATGGTAATTACATTCTTTTAATACTATAAACTCTCACACCTGTTTTGTGCTGGTTATTAATGACATTCATAATTCCGATGTCTCATCCTCAGGAGAGATAAAGTTTTTCCGTTCTGCAGCTTTGCTCTACAGGCTATTTTTTAATCTTAGTTATAAAGTATCTTTAAATCCTTCTCTCTCAGCACAAGCTTTCTTGTCATTGTTGTGTTTCTTTTTACTCAAATCTGGGGGGTGTTCTGTTTTTAATATCTATTTCAGTTTACTTTGCTTTCTTAAAATCTTGACGCATTGTTTCCCGTAAGAGAAACGTGATGACAAGATGTGTCATTTTGTATAGCTTAATTTAGACACTAGATGCACATGGCAGACATACCATTGTATGGAAGATGTCTCTTGCAGAACAGCTGCATAACACAATTGTATTTGTTTGGCTTTATTCTCTTACAGTGCACACCTGTCTTGCTCCAGAGCCCATGGTACTAATCTAATCATATAAATGTTCCCTGCTGGTTCAGGGATCCTGTTGTACACAGGGTGTTGTTATCCCTTCTTAGTCACTTACTGAGGATAAAGAAAGAGGCTACCTTAGTGACTACTGAAGATGAATAAGAACAATATTAGATTTCTCTTGGGAATTTCTTTATGGAGCACAGTATGAATCTTGTGGGATAATGCAGGGAGCAAAATTACAGATAGAGTCCCTGTGTGTACTCTACAAGTGCATGTGTAGATAAAAACACGTTATGTAGATGGGGTAACTTCAAAACACTCTCAAGCCTAGTGCTCTTACAACAAACTACAACTATATTACTGTGAAGGGCAAGGACAAAGGTTCTCTTTAATGGAAGAAGGAAGGAGTCTTAGAAAAGTACTATAAGACATCATAAAGTTGTAACACTCTTCTTTGTAAAGGTCCATGGTTCATTGCTTCATTCCATCCCATTTTTTAAAAAGTGAGTGAAGTAGGCGATGCTTTCTTGTATGTATTCACACCTCTCCCGTATGAGATGAGGATGAATGTAATTTCTCATCACAGCATGTATCTTTAGTGTTTATTTCAAAAGCACAGTCAGCTATGATGATTATTTACAGTGCACGCGAAGTTATAAAAGCTAAATCGGATGTTTAGAGGTACACACTTACATAGAATGCCACCGAAAACTGCAAGTTCCCTGAAATCACTGCATGGCGTGATTTGCAGTCTTTCTGCAAAGCACAGGGAACATTCAATGAGTACATGGATCCTAAAAAGAAAATTTAACCTCTTGC